AGAGTTGAATGTATCTCTGAACTCTCTATTTGAGAAGGATTGCGGAAGGGTAGGGGCTTGGAGAACTAGTTGCCGGCTAGGAGAGAGTAGGGTTCTAGCTTTTTGAGGAGCTGGAATCGAGGTAACTTTACTAGAAACTTTTTCTAGCTGTTTGGGAGAGGTTTTGGGCTGTGGCTGTAGTATAGGTTTAGGGGCGAGTTTTAGTAGTTTTTGGACTACTAGTTGGTTTCTTTATTGTAGTAGGGGGTTAGCTAGGCCCTCTCTATGTTGGGGGAAGGCGGTTTTCTTTAGTGAAGTTCCGGAAGATTTCTAGAAGGTCTAGAAGTCTATTTTCCTGGGGGCGGGAGTCGGATAGGTCTACTGCTTTCCGTAGGTAGTCCCTAGCTAGTAGAATAGCTTCGGGAGCTGTTGTTAGTGCGGAAGTAGTAGGGGGAGGAGGTAGGGGCTGGAGTTTCTGTTGTTTCTATAGGGGTTGCTGGGAGGGTTTTTCCGGTTGGGTTTCCGATCCCGGGTAGATAGAAACCTCTAAGTTTAAGGAAGAGGTACTTTAGGTGCTTAGTAATAGTAGAGGTCTCTTTTCCCCTCCTTAAAAGATTAGGGGGTTTAGGATATCTACTTCCATTTCGGTAGGAGTAGAGGTTTTTTCCGGTGTAGGTAGGGTTTGAAGAGTATCGAAGCGTGTTCTAAGGGGTGGGGTAGATAGCCTAGGAATAGGCGTTGAGATTTCTTCCCGTAGGCGTTAGTAGACTCTTTAGTTAAAGATAATTTTTATTATTTAAAACTAGTAGCGGAAGGTGTTTTCAGTTGGTTCAATTCCAAAGCGAATTTTATGAGAAACTTAGTTTTAGACTGTAGGGGTAAGTTGGCCGAAGATGTAGTGTTCGACAAGAAAAGTAGGGGGTTTAAGAACCCGGACTTGTGTTTTTGCCATAGTATTTGCCCGAGGTGTGTTATTCCGGGCTAGGAAGTCTGCCTGGGGCAGAGATAGGATAGGGTCTGTGCGGTGTCTTGGCGGGGAACGCCGAAAATTTTGTCTACTGGGGGAACCGGTAGAGAGGTTTTTACCCGCAGTTAACACAACAACCAAGGCCTACGGCCTGGTGCAAGTTAGTCTGCAAAGTAAGTAGGCTGTGCTGATTCGTTTGATAGTATTTTCGAGGTTCTGGGGGCGCTGGTTATAGCGATCCCATTAGTGCGAGAGGTGTAGGCTGGCTGGGATAGCGGGTTCTTTTGCCTCTTCGAACGAAGATGGACGGCGTATCGGACTTTTGGGTTATGATGGGGTTAGTCGGGATTGGGTATTAGTAGGGACATAGGAGCCTTTACAGTGCCAATAATAAAGAAGTATTTCTGGGTATGTCTAACAGACTATCTCTTGCCTATACTTCTGTTTGTCTTTCTACTCTTCATCTCTTCGCGACCTGCATTTTTGCGACTCCTACATGGCTTCTGGATAAACATCTTTTTCCGGGACCAGTGATACTGGGTCAGTCAAGGCGCATGCCAGCGCGGTAAGTCAAAGGGATTTCTCAAGACGGTGCCATATATGCACACTATTTTCTGTCGCGGAGGATGGTGTCATTATAGATGAGGTCAGACCCACCCATGTATAAGCGGAGAGTGCCCCGATCTGACATGTTCATGTCCCAACGACCGTCAATCTCACCACTGAGGTAGCGACACCGCCGACACGTTACTTCTTAACAGAAAAGAGCTCTCTTCCCCGTCATGGGATGGGCCACTCAACTTGCACTACGCCCTCTTGGTTGCAGCAACACTGTGGGCGAGGTTACTGCGGTTGAGGTGGGGCGTCCTTGATGATGGGGAGCGAGGCATGGTGGTGCTGTTGATTATAGTGATATGCCTGTGATGGTTACCGTTGTTTTGTTCGGACGCTGTACTTTGTTGCTGTTATTGGCAGGAGGCTTGGGTTCCTGTTAGATGCTGTTGACCTACAGGAAGCTGAGAGGGGCCACGGTCCCAGCTGACTTCTTTGCGTAGACCAAGAGCAAGTGTCTTTGTCGCTTTTGTGTGGTCGACGACCTTCGAGTGTTCTTGTTCGTCCATCTAGTAGCTACCCGTGCTTTAAAAGGTCGGGAAGAGATTCGGTTTGCCTCTGCTATTGTAAATCTCGCGCTTATGACTAACATACATGCGAACGTCCTTCATGAGAACTCGTAGCACAACCACACAGAATTGCTGATGCGTATACACGAAGTGTTTGGGCGGCTGGAACATTCTGGAGCTGACCGAGCCCGTTGAAAAGACGCGTACAGTGCGGAAGAGTGCTGTTAAGCCGAAAAGGGTAGCACGTCAAGCAAGATCAAAGGTCTGGGTACGGGCGCGCGGGGGGTTAGTCAGCTAGCCAAGCCGGCCCAAAACAGCAACAGGTTGCTCCAAGGTCGAACGTCTGGGTGCGGGCGCGCGGGGGGTTAGTAAGCTGAGCCCGAAACGGTAACAGGCTCTCTAAGGTCGAACGTCTGGGAGCCTGCGCGCGGGGGGTTAGTAAGCCAGCTAACAGAGCCAACCCAAAGCGGTAACAGGCTTCCAAGGTCGAACGTCTAGGTGCCGGCGCGCGGGGGGGTTAGTAAGCCGGACCCAAAGCAGTAACAGGTTGCTCCAAGGTCGAACGTCTGGGTGCCGGCCCGCGGGGGGTTAGTAAGCCGGCAAAGCAGTGACTGTATGCACCAACGCTGAGCATTTGAGCGCGTGCTCTAGGAGCTGCTGTCCATCACTGAGCTGCTAGCCTTCACTGATGCCTTATACGTGACCTTCAACACTGACTGATCAAACGAGCATTGTCATACAACACAACACTCTAAGCGACGTCAAAAGACGCGAGTATGTCTACCTACGACCTTCCAGGTACTGTCCTGCCACCAAGCTCCCTCTTCCGTCAGCAGTAACACCAGCTTCGGCACCATTGTCGCAGACACTCAAGTCATAGGCTATCTCCGCGCCATACAGTCTTCTAGCCAAAGACACATCCATAAAACCAACAAATTGCTTCCCCCACGATGGCCTAATAAGCACAAAAGAGTCAAGAGCGCAAACAACAAATAAATGCAAACACAGTAAGGGGGAGAGGGAAAAATACCAAATAGCGAACGTCACTGCTCTTTTCCCCGACACACAACATCTTTCTCCCCCACAACACCTACACCAGCACCATTGACCACAATCACAACCACGACAACACAATGGCTGACCCCGCAGCTCCCGTCGTGATGCGGCAGCTTCACCACCACAACACGCAAACACCTAGTACTTCAAGCTCTCAATCCTTACCGTTGTAAGGTATTATCCGCCCACCCGCTGCAGCAACAGTGACGATGCACACCACCACCACGTCACACAGCCAGCCGCCATCAGCACCGCACAACGACGGCGCCCATCATCTTCGGCGCCAAACCCCTCGCGCCTCTCGCGCCTCTCGCGCCGCGCGTAGTTTTCCTTCTTGCGTCACAAGCCGCAATTACTTTCGACTGATAGGGAGTACAGAGACCGCAGGACTTGTGTGTTGAATATCTTCAGCTCTTCTCGTCACCTGCGTTGCTGCTTCATGGTGCTTTGGCTGGCTTTATATGCTCAGAATCACACTTGGCTAGGCCGAGATCTCGTCGTCTGTTGCGAAAGTATATGAGATGTCCTAAAAAGGAATTGTGACGATTATGTGCTGCCATGATACTTTTATATTGAGAAGGTTAGAGAAGGGAAGAGCAGACTGGTGGCGTAGAATCGGTCAGTGTAGGTGAAACAACAAAGCCAGAGCCGCAAATCCGCCCAACTGCCACTGTACCCAGCCCTAGCAGCACGCACCCCCCTACACGCCACCAACCCAAGCATCTACAACCGCCGTCCTGCCCCCCTCAACCACGCCCACCGCCTCCCTCAGCACGTCCTCCAACTCGCCTACCTCCCTCGCCCTCTTCGCCCAAACCCCCGTCTCGCCATCGCCGGCCCCCGCCGCCCGCGCAATGCCCCCATAGTCCGGCCCGGGCTTGAACTCGATATTCAGCTCCTCGCGCGAGGCGCGCGAGCCCTCGCCGTCCGGGTGCACGAGCAGCAGCGAGCGGCGCGGCGCGTGCCAGCCCTCGTTGTTGAGCACGATGGTCAAGATGGGGATGTTGTAGCGCGCGGCGATCCAGTAGACGCTGCTGGGGACGGAGAAGAGGAAGGTGCCGTCGCCGACGATCTGGGTTATGAAGCGCGGTTTGGCGTTGGGTGGGGTTTGGGCCGCGAGTTTGATGCCGAGGGCCTGGTGGTGGGGGGTGTGTGTCAGTGGGTGGTTTGGAAGTTGGTAGTGAAAGGAAGATAGGAAGGAAGGAAAGAGCTTACGCCGCCGCCAGACCAGCCCAGCCCGCCCCCGCCGCAGTTGATCCAACACCCCGGCTTCTCAACCTGCAGCTGGTCCGCGACCGCAATCGTATTCGTCACAGCCTCAATCACCCAGATCGTCTCAGGCGGACACAGCTCGCGCAGCCGGCTTGCCAAGTACGCGGCGCCAAACTTGCCATCGGGCGTCGGCTCCGCGAGTGCCCTAATGCCCTGCAGCCTCTGCGCATAGCTCACCCTCAGCCTTTCCCAGCGCGCCGCAAACTCCTCGCTTTGCACCCGCGCCACCAGCCGCGGCGTCGCGGCAATCTTTGCCCGGATCTGCGCGAGCGCGGTGCCCGCGTCGGCGCGCCAGCGCCCTACCGCGTCGATGTAGAAGACGGGCATTTGCTGCTTTAGCGGGTCCGTGTCGACGTGGTAGATGCGTGCGTCGGGGCGCGGGCGGCACTGCGTGTTGATCCAGGGGACGTCGCAGTCGAGGACGAGGATCGTGTCGGCGGTTTTGATGCTGTCGTCGATGCCGAAGCGGAGGCCTAGCCAGCCGGGGTGGCTGGGGGTGTGGCAGTGGTTTAGCCAACTAGGTAGGTACTTACCTACCATCTCCAGTGAAGAAGAAGAAGGAGGAGGAAGCACTCACCTCGCGGGAAAACACATATCGCTCCCCCCCGTATCCAGCACGCGCAGCCCCTTGACCGTATCCGCCAGCCCAACCAACTCAGCCACAGCGCCGTGCTTCCGTCCACTATACCCCGTGACGACGAGGGGCTCGCGGGCGTCGACGAGCGCCTCGGCAATCGTGGCGGCCCCCGCATCCGGCAGCGCGGCCGGCTCGACGGGCGTCCAGAACGCCTGCTCTAGGGCGTAGGGCGCGAGGTCCTCCTCCATGGCCTCGCGCGTGCCGTACAGGTAGACCGGGCCCTGGGGGTCTGAGGTCGCGAAGCTGAGGGCGCGGTTGACCATTTGCTGTGACGCGTTAGCCCACTTCTCTTCTGCTCTTCCCCTCTCCTCCATGGAACTCACCTTGACATTCCGCCCCCTCCGCACCTCCCCCGTCCACCGACAATACCCCGCCACCACGCCCCGCTGATCATGCACATCCTGGATCCAATGAATATACTCGGTCCTACTGCCCCTATACTCGCCCTCAAGCGTACAAGGCGAGAGCCCCGCAAACACCAGCACCGGCGCTCTCCCACAGCTCGCATTATGCACCGCGGCGCCAAGGCCCTGCGTGCCCACGTCCACATGCACAAGCACGCACTGCGCCCGCCCCGTTAGCCGCGCGTACCCGTCGGCCATGCTCAGCGCGACCATCTCGTTCGGGCACGTGATGATGCGCACGAAGCGCTTGCCGCCGCCACCGCTGCTGCTGGACTGGGCTTTCTGCCCGCGCACGATTGCCTCCAGCAGGCTCGGGTGGTCGGACCCGAGGTTCGCGAAACAGTATTCGACGCCCGCTTCGCTGAGCGCTTCGAAGAACGCGGTCGAGGCTGTGTAGTTTGTCGAGGAGGAGGCCCTGCTGGGCGTTAGCGGCGTTGCGTGCGCGTAGGTAAGGTAAGGCTAAGCAAAGCAAAGTAAAGCAAAGCAAGACCAAGGTATGTAGGTAGCTGCAGAACTCACATATTGCAATTCCCTATCCTATCTTTATGGCCAAGGTACAATAGCCCGTGAAGGAACGCGCACAGTCGGCAGCTCTGTCGAGAAATAAAATGCTGGATAAGGTACAGTATACTTAAGGTACCGCCGCACTTACATACCGCTCGCGGCGAAGCTCCCCCACCCCACCCGCGCCTCCGCGCGCTAGGTAGGTAAGGTAGCTGCCCCACCCCCACGTCCTTAACCTTATGTACTTACTTACCCCGCAGCCCCGATCGGGAAGCGGAAACCACTAGCCGGGTGCGCGCGGCAAGAGGTACGGCAATGGCAGTGGAGCAGAGCTTACGCATGCGCGCATCCGCCTTCCTGCTTTACCTACCTACCTACCTACCTACCCGTATCCCGCACACAAGGGCAGGGGCGTCGCTGCGAGGGGCTAGGTAATAAATGAGTAGGATGAGTAGAATAAGAATCCGTCTTGTCTATAGCTATAACGTACATAGGGATACGTACCGCGTACATGCCATACATCGTCATGTACATACATACCTACGCTGTGCGCGCCAAAACCAAAGGGAAAAAAAAAAAAAAAAAAAGCAGGAGAGAGGAAACGACAATGGGATAGATAGGGTGAAAGGAAACCAACAAAACAAACCAACAAACAAACAAGCAAACAATGCCGCTCCCACTCTTCCAACGCCTCTCCCCCATAAAAACGCCAAAGCACAATCATTACCTCCCCACGCCGTCAGCCTCCCTTGCCTTCTCTCTCCTCGCCACATCCCGCATCTCCTCGAGCATAATCTCATTAAACTGCTCTGCGCCATCAAGGTAGAGATGATGTCCCGCCTTCCGGATCACCAACACCTTGGCATCGCCATTATCGCGCCTGCGCTCCTCGTCGTTCTTCCCAGCAAGCAGCCGCTCCTTCTCCTCCTTCATCTTCTTCTCCGCCGCAAACCCGCCTTTAATGTCCATCCAGTCGTTCTCGCCATACATCAGCACGACGGGGACGCCGTTTTCGCGCTTGCGGCCCCCGGCGCCCTCGCGCTCCGTGCCCTCCGTGTCCGGAATCGGGCCCGAGTGCACCCCCAGGTACTGCCGCCCGATGCCGTGGATGCGGCGGATGAGCGGGCTGCGCGCAAACGCGCCCGGCGCCAATATGTATGCGAGCGCGTACTCGCCGCTGCCCCGCTGCCGGAACAGCGAGTACGAGTAGTCGTGCAGCGACTGCGACTCCTCGGCCGGCAGGTGCGAGAAGCGCCGCGATGTCCAGCCCGACACGAGGCGCGGGCCCAGTGGCCCTGTCCACCGCACTAGCGAGAACGGGCTGATGTTGGCGTCCCACAGGTACGTCAGCCACTTTGGCAGTGGCCGGCGCGGTGGCTTGCCGTTGTTGTTTTGAGTGTCGGCTTTGAGGCGCGCGTCGATCGTGTTCTTGTCGCCGGCGGCGTTGCCGTTGGTGGCGCCGGCCGAGTTGGCTTGGTCCTGCGTGAACTCGTTGACCATGGTCGATTCGCCGGGCTCGGGCATATCGGCGTTGACGGCCCACGGGTCCTCGGGGATGCCGACCGGACTCGCCAAGATGAGTTTGTTGAGGTGGCCCGGGTACTTGAGCGCGTAGGCGACGGCCATGTAGCCGCCCATGCTGTGGCCGAGCAGCGTGAAGCGGTCAATCTTCTTCTCGATGCGCCACTCCTCGAGCGCGTCGATGAACCAGTTCTCCGCCTCGGTGATCTGGTCCTGCCGATCCTTGGCGTGGATCTTGAACGGCGGCCGGCTGCTGCGCCCCATGCCCAGCATGTCCAGCGCGTACAGCTTCCAGCCCTCGGCGCGGCTCAGGGCCTCGAAATTCTTGTAGAAGAATCCCAGACCTGCGCCGTAGCCGTGCAGCATGACAAGGTTGTTCTCAACGTCCTCGCCCACGCGCTCAACAGAAAACTCGTTCAGGGCGCGGTCCTTGCCGCTGAGCTTGACCAGCGTCGAATGCCATATCCGCGGGCCGTAGGGGTCCGTGACCGAGTTGGAGGTGACGGGGCGGGCGGCTCGGGCGGGATCGTTCGCGATGGACGTGGCGGAAACGGAGGCCGACGGGGGAGCCGAGCCGGTCTGCGTGTGCGTGGGTGGCTTCTGGAGGTAGGGGATGTGGGAGAGGACGGCGTGCTCGGTGACGGCGGGCGAGAGGCCGGCCCACTGCAGGGGGTTGTTAGCATGGCATGTCAAAGCCGTGGCAAAGGGTCAACGACGCACCCACTGGCTGAAGCCCTCCTTGTAGCCTAGCGGAAAGTAACCCTGGAAGCGGCCGGTAGGAGGCTGGCTGGGCTGGGCGCGGGCACGCTGCGAGGCCAGAGGGCTCTGTTGGGAGCGCGAGCTGAACTCGTCGTCACTTGCGGGAGCAGCCATGGTGGTAGTGGTGTAACGACGGGAAGCGGGCCGCAGCAAGGACAGCTGCGGGCAAGGCGGGGGACGCAATTTCGGGGGGTGGTAAGTAAGTAATGACAAATAGAGAGAGTGTGTGTGAGTGTGAGTGAGAGAGAGAGAGTAAGAGTGAGGGTGTTGACAAGGGAAGGGGTATATGGGCTCAATTCTGCCGCCTGGTGGCGCAGGAGGATGACGCGCCACGGACTGTTGAATTCGGCCGTTTCCCGCCCGCGCCCGCCGCCGCCCGCAAGCTCTCTCTCCCGCCGCCCCCGTCGTCCAGCGCACCAAAACGCACCACGGCGACACCACCTCAACAAACCCTCTGCTGCCGCACGATCATGAATCGATAAATGTCCGAGTCCAAGCTCGACCAGATCGTCAAGGGCGCCCCGCCGCCCACCGTTACTGCGCCCCAGGTCGCTCAACAAGCCCGCTCCAGCGATGCTGCCCCTTCGTCGCGCCCGCCCGACCCGACGTCGCTGCTGCCATCGTCGCCGCCGCAGATCTACCTCAACCTCCTGATCCTCGAGGCCTCGCTACGCGCCCAGTACCTCACACTGCGCGCCCGCCGCCGCCAAAACACGTTTGTGCTGACGCTGCTCGCCGTGTGGATCTTCTGGTTCTCGTATGCCGTGGTGCTGCGCCCGCGCGAAGACGGCCGCGGCGTCGGCGGCAGCGTCTACTGGGTCATCGACGTGAGCGAGAAAATGTTCCTGATCGGCGGCGTCGTCATGGGCGTTCTGTTCTGGGGCACCGGGCAGTGGGAGCGCGGCGTGCGCTGGCCGCGCCGCTGGGTCGGCGTCGCCAACCGCGGCCTGCGCAGCATGAACTGCAAAATCGTGCTGATCAAGGGCCCGTGGTGGCGCGAGCTGCTCAGCCACCTGAGCTTCCTGCTGCCCTACCCGCTCTTCTCCTCAAACCCGGGCAGCAGCTACCACTACATCGAGTACCCGCTCAAACACCACCCTAGCCATAGCCACCTGCGCCACACGACGGGCCTGCAATCGGGCGGCCGCGAGATCCTCGAGGAAGATGTCGCCCCCGGCGGCGACTACATCAAACTGCTGCTGCTACCGAAGCCCTTCTCGGCCGACTTCCGCCAAAACTGGGAAATGTACCGCACCGAGTACTGGGAGAAGGAAAACGAGCGGCGCGCCGAACTCCGCAAGCGGCTGAAGCTGCGGGAGCTCGAGACGGCCAAACGCGAAGGCGGGTGGCTATGGTGGACGGGCTGGCGCGGCTGGCGACGCGCCACGGGCCGCCCCGCATCATCCTCCGCAGCAGGGGGGGCAGCATCATCAGAGCGCCTGCCATCGACACCGCAGCTGCACCACCACGGCCACAGCCACGGGCACACGCCCACGCCGCTGCGCGAGAAGAAGCGCCGGCCCAGCATCCTCCGCGACCACGAGCGCGACCGCTCCCACTCGCGCTCCTCGTCGCGCAGCACGACGCCCCCACCGCGCGGTGGCAGCGGCGACGCCGACGAGAGCGCTAGCGGCAGCCCCGCCCGCCGCCGCTGGAGCAACAGCACTTCGGGCAGCGGCACGACGGAGCGGCGGCGCAGGAAGCCGCTCGCGGCCGGCGGCAGCGCGCTGGGGCTGGGCATTGGCATGCAGCAGCGGCTCGCGCCGGGGGGTGCTGGTGGGTCAGGGTCACGGCCTACAACGCCTACGGCTGGCGCGGGTGCGGATGCGCCGACTCAGTCGAAGCGCGCGAGCGTGCTGAGTGCTGCTAGCACTGCTACGGATAGCGAGCGCTCGGCGACGCTGACGCCGGATTTGCCGGGCGTGGGGGGGACGCCGTAGCCATGCATGGATGGATTATTTACTTAGTTGGTTGTTTATTTAGATGAATGGATGGTTGGGGGTCTACTACTACTACTCTACTACTACTACTACTACTACTACTACTACTACTACTACTACTACTACTACTACTACTACTACTACTACCACTACTACTACTACCACTACTACTACTACCACTACTACTACTACTACCACTACTACTCTACTACACTACTACCTTACTCCAGCGCTCTCGGCGTACGCTTATGCAAATGCTATTTATTCTACTGTTCTTCTGGGGGGTCTGGGCCTGGGCCTGGGTTTGTGCGCTTGTCTGTGTGCTTGTCTGTGTTTTGCTCGCACTACCTACCTAGGTATCATCTCGTTGAGGCAGACTACTCTGAATCTGGGACCGGTAGTCGCGGTCGCGGTCGCGGTCAAGTGTGGCACAGCAGCAACTGCTGCGCCACGTTTCGCGCTCCACTGATCTGCGCGGTCTGGACTTGGGCGGTGGGCGGTGCGTGGTCGGCGGTGGGCGGCTAGGTGAAGGGTGGGGTTTGGTGCGGTAGTGTGTGCTATTGGTGGTATGCTATTGGTGCTTGCTTGTTATAGGCTACGCTATAGGCTGTAGGCTGTAGTTGTGTGCGGTATACGCGCTTAGGTCTTGGGTTTGATGAGAGGGATGGGTGCGTGTGTGTGAGTTGGGGAGTTGGATGAGGCGGTGGGGTGGGGGCTTTGGTTGTGGGTGTGGGTTTGGGTTTGGGATTAGGTTTTAGGTTTGGTGGTGGGGTTGGGCGAGGGGTGGGGGTGAGGGTGGTGGCTGTGGTGGTGGTGGTTGCTCGTTTCCATTGCTGTCTTTGCCCCTTTCTTTATCCGTCTCTGTCCGTCTCTATACCACCCCAAACCCAAACCCAAATCCACCCACCCCACCCTCCATTCTTCTTTAAACGTCCCATCACCGCACCAACGCAAACAAAACACTGCTCTGGCTTCACATGCATCGCAAACAACAGTATGGCTACCTCCGAAGGGGCCCGGCGTAGAACCTGACGGACATGCATTATCTGGGGCCTGGCGAGTTGACTCAAGGCGAGATATTCGGTTAGTTAGCTCAAAAGGGCTGGTGGCTATGCGCTATACGCAGGGACGGGACGGTGTTGGTGGGCAGTGTTCTGTGGTGTTGATGGCGGAGTACGGCAAGGGCTGGTGGTGGTGCGCGTTATCTGACTTGGCTGCTACGGTGACGGAGTTGTGAATTTGATTCCGTGGATTTGTTTACTGCGTGCGCGGAAGTGAGATTGAGCTTGTCAGCAGCCCGTACGAAAGTATGTCATGTGTGATGTGGGCACTGAGTCTGGGCTGTGCTTAACGGCGTTGACCGTGGAAAGAGAAAAAGGTAAGTATACGTATTATCTTACTAGAACACTCCGAGGTAACGCAATACTTGTCAGTGATCCCACATTGGAACCAAGTACATCCGACTCACGACCGGCACCGATTCCAACTCAAGCACCAATTTTAGCACAAGAATCAGCTAGAGAAAGAGCTCATGGAGTATCTAAAGTCGGAAACACCGCGTTGTCTTTGTCTCGGCCAGTGACCGGGACTGCAGGTTTGGTGGCAACCGTTGTTGGGGCGTGGGAAGCTCCAAGACACCACTATAAAACCGGCCAATAGACACCCTACACACGAACGAGTTGGCGTCAATGACTACACAACCAACACTCGATCGACAGATACGTTAAGGCAATAACGCCTTCAAATACCCAGCGTCGCTGATAACGAGAAGACTGTGTGGGACCATGGGTTGTGGTTAGCATCCTATTGTTCCAGTACTCCAATAATAGACCTAGCTAGCGAACTACTGCTGATACACGAAGGTAGCTGACGATTATCTTTTTATGATGTTGATGGCAAGCACTAGCAGTGTGTGACGGTGTCGTGCATCAGCACTGTTGGAAGAAGAAGCGGATGCATCGGCGCTCTGGGCATTGGGCATTGGTAAGTGTATGCGGCTTCAATAGATGCGGACTACGCGCGGCGGATTAGCCTCTAACTCGAACACACTTCTCTTACTTACCAGTGATGCGCTTTCTTTCAGAACCGCGTGGCTGCGCTACATGTGTTGCAGTTATAAAGCATAATCGCCGATACTTGGGGTCAGGGGTAGATAGGAACTATATGCCTGTGGCAGAGACATCGTTTGGCAGTATCTCAGACACTGCGCCGCACGTTTGGTTTAGTTTGATTTGCATTTGAAAATGCTTTTCCGAGAAGCTCACTCTTGTGGAAAACACGCCTAAGTGTGTTCGAAGATTCCCAAAATTCGTACAGTGAAGTAAGTAACAGTGTATCACTGTGCCATCTACTGACACTAGTTTACGCCACAGCAGTAAAAATTGCTTTATAAAGCCTTTAGCACACTGGATTATGAATTCGACCTACAAGGCCTTTGGAAACGTCTACTCAAGACCTAACAGCCGGCGGATTCTGGAGAGACATTGATCTCTCGCCTCAAATCATGCGCTTCTCTGAAAGGGGTTGGCGGTTTGGTCAAAGAAATGATAACAAAGGAGTATCTCGAAGAGATAGATATTAGCAAGGAAAACTTTAGACAGCAATGACCGATGTCAGTCAGTATTAGTTGCACTTGCTTTTGATGATCACCAACGATAATTTTGCTTTGCTACCATACTGCCAGCCCTTCAATTACGCGGTAAGGTCGTCCAACTCTCTTTTATTTTTGATGCTAGCTAGACGAGTTCGGAATATGCGATTCCGTTTCTGGTGATTTTAGAAGACGCGATGCATTGCTAACTTACTGCTAAAGTTTACGGGTCGAAGACTATTCGTTTCGGAGGCGTCTTCACACGTGGGAGACACAGCGTGGTTATGGCGATTGTTGCGATGAGACGCCATCTATACAACCTCTCCTCATGCCTTCGCGTTTTGATGGTGTGGTTTATGACTACTTGGTCAAGAATCAAAGCGTTCGGCTTTTGGTGTCGTCACAGGTTAGTGAGAAATGAGGAGAGTTTCGTACACTTCCTTCTCTCACCAGATGTGGATTAGTTTCTTCGAGGATTCAGGCATCGCATTCCCGTGGATATGTTTGTGGAGGTGAGGTGGCCGGTAAGTCTATCTATGGGATGTTCCTGGATCCGTGGAACACTGTGACATTTTCCGCGATGGAACCAAAGAACGTGTGTTTTTGGCAGAGTTGTTCATGCGCTTGGACCTTGTTCTCTGTCGTTATCTAGAAAGGTCCTTTCTTCTCGCAGCGGTCGATGAAAACAACAGCAATCAAAAGCAATCAAAGCCTTGTCGGCAAATATTTGCTGCAACCCTTATGCGCGCGAATGCGCGAACATTCGCTTTGAAAGAACTGAGGAACACTAAATCGGTCTGTACTGCGCTGTCATCTGGATGTTGTCGACCGACTACATATACTTCCCGCTTGCATGACTGTCGTCCTTGGTCTACTCGCTGCGACTCAGATATCGCTGCGAGCCCAGTTCTGGCTAATGCATCATTTGTGTGTGGCTGGCAGCATCGCCCGCACGGGGAGTGGCTTCCCCAAGTGGTGAGGCCCTGAGAGGTCGCTTCCCAGGAGGGAATTGGCGATGTAATCCTTTTGGACACCACCAATGTCGACATCGTAACACCTACCGCTCTATACCACCCACTGCTTCGAAAACCCTATATGACGACAAGCTTCGCATCGCAATTGGTCGCCGTCAACGACTCCCTGGTTCAGTCAACCACCTATATACGCAATGCAAAGTTGAACGCCCAGTCTTGAGAGAGGTCAGCATACTTTGACCTCCGAAGACATTGTTCTTTCACGAGACTGACCATGTCAGCGTACAGTGATTCGAAGTCATCGTCCTTTCCAGTATAAATCAAGGCAAAATGGAGACGTTTACTGCTGTTCCCAAATTCAGCAGTACCTGCGAATTTTGTAATTGGCTTGTAAAACTCATGGTGCTGTCAATCATTTACAGTCCTGCTTTCTCCCTTCTCAGTGAGCCATGGCTCATCTGTTTCATACTCCTGTTCGCCTTTCGCTACGTCAGGCTTGTTGTCAACACTGTCGCGTACTTGCTATGCAAACCGTGCCAGATCCCTGACTGCCCTCGCTATACCACCGAAGATGTCACTGTAATCATACCCACAGTGGAACCATTCGGACGAGATTTTGACGAGTGTATACACTCGGTTATCGCAAACCGACCAGCGAAAGTTCTGGTAGTCACTGTTGGCGAGGAAAAGACCCGTCTGGCGAAGGAATTTTGCCAGGAATTTGGGCTTCTCGTTGAAGTGCTTTCCGTCTTAAAGGCCAACAAGCGTGAACAGACAGTCCGCGCTCTCCAGGAAGTCCAGACGAAGATTGTCGTCCAATGTGATGATACTGTCTTCTGGCCAAAGACCTTGCTTCCTTGGATCATCGCCCCTTTTGAGAATCCAGATGTCGGAATTGTGGGTACCCACAAGCGCGTACGCCGCAATGGGGGCACTTTCGGATTGGCTGACTTCTGGAATCTCTGTGGCGTAATGCGTCTGGAGCGCACCAACTTCGACTTGGCTTCCACGAACGCTATCGACGGTGGGAACAGCTGCGTGTCGGGACGGACCTGTGCCAGCCGCGCTACGATCTTGAAGGATCCGGAGTTCATACATGCGTATACCAACGAGTACATTTTCGGCAAAATTGGTCCACTCAATGCCGGGGATGACAAGTTTGTAACCAGGTGGATGATCAACCACGGCTGGAAGATCAAGCATCAGACATGCAGCGAGGCCCGTATTGAGACGAACCTAGGCATCAAGGGCGGCGGAGCTCGATTTAGAGGACAATGTCTTCGGTGGGCCCGAACCAGCGCCCGCGACAACCCCAAGATGTTGTTTGTCGACCGCAAGGTCTGGATGGCCCACCGCTGGACGACATATGCCATCCTTCTGCACAGCCTGATCAATTTCGCGGCCATATACGATCCTTTGATCGTTTTCGCACTCTACAAGGCTTTGCAAAACCCTGTCATCTGCGAAGCCTTCGGTGGAATCAAGCACTCTTTGCTCTTCCTTGGCCTCTGGATTCTTGCCATGAAGTTGGTCAGACCTGCGGGTCACTATTGGCGGAACCCGAAGGACCTCCGTTACGCACCTTTCATCATCCTTTTCGGGTACTACCACTCCTGGATCAAGCTCTATGCGCTGTTCACCTGCTGGGACATTTCCTGGGGTACGCGCGTAGGAGTCGACGACAAATCGTCGAAGGCGTAGGTGGACTAAAGGATATGGTATATGCCTGTACCGCTTTTCCTTGAGATGGCGTTTGGCGTGAAACTTGCTGATTTTCAGCTTATTGGCCATATTTGATGGCATGGAGTTTGGCGGGACATGATACCCTGATAGCAATGCATAGCATCCGAGGAGTAGTACCTCATCCTAGTACCTAAATGAAGGCTCTTAACCCTATGAACTTGTGCATGACACTCTTATTGGAACGATTCGCCATGGTACCTGCACCACATGAAGATGTAGAATGACACTTACACAGGAACAAGGCCAGTCCGAAGCTTTATCATGTTTACCGACTTTTGGCATGGATTTAACGAGTGCACAGCTGAAGTTTATCTTGAAACACGAGACCGTAAGTTGAATGATCCTTTTTCAGAAGATTTGAACAAGATGGCATCGTGGATGAAGACGAGTGGGGTTTGGTTTGAGTGAGGCGATACTGGACTCGGCAACCGAATTCCTTAGCGCATGCTTGATTTGACATCACTCGCTACTTCCCTTCTCACGAACAACATCTCCGACGAAGACAAGGTACATTTGAACACGAGAAGCCGTCGCCGAAAGGCCTCTGAGCACGACGCGCAAGCGTTTGTTTCCTGAGGGATGGACTTTGTTCATGGACAAAGCGGCATCGCAATGCTCCTGTGCCGGGTAGCTTTGGAGCGGAGGAATGAGTGGCTTCACAGCACTCCGACGGGCCAACGTTCGACCTGCGCCTGCCTCATCGCACCTTTGGATGTAACAGCCGGAGGTGACTGATTGTGCGAAGCTTCTCCTCCCAGGACCAGGTTCACTTTGAGTACAGCTCAACCCATCTCTTCTCTTGGATTCTTATTTCACGACTCTATAGCTCATCTCTATCACTTCCCAGCGATTCGACTATTGACCAAGCTCTTAGCATCATGCCAGCTGCTAACCCCAAGAAGGGCTCCGTTCATTCACGTAAGCAGAATACCACGTTTAATCCTCGGCTACAGGTTGAAGTTCTGACCGACTGTTCCAGCGCCGGGCTATATAAACATGAGCTTTCCAACAGAAATGCGCTCGCCCGTAAATACTTCTTTGCCGACACCCGAAAGCCTTGTCGACTTCCCAAGCTCCCGTGACAATCGTTTGACTTCAGACATGGAACAGCACGATGTCGGCCTCGGTTCGCCCGTCGTCGATCTGACAACACCACCTGCCCAGGAGCACCATTCCTCTCATGGCAGGCCTTCAGTCGAGCCGTCTGCTCAGACTCAGCAGACGCTGGACCTTCAGCAGCAAGTCCTCCCGCGTCGACGCGGAACAATAAGGGTTGCCAGATGGAACGGTGTCCTTGGTCATGGCTACGTGGAGGAGGTAGAGGTGGAATTCGACGAGTACAACAATCCCGTTAGGCGGATTGAAAATAATGTAAGCCTCATCACTCCCTCCAACCTCAACGATGAAGGGGTTCCTGGAAGGACGCATCCTCAAGAAACTTCTGGTCAACTGGGGAAACACTCTCAGACGAACACTACAATGAGGACCCAGGATTTAGGGTCCTGGTCACAGAAAAACGTACTAACTGAAATACAGTTGGGCTTCATGGAAGAGTCACAGTGCAACTTCGCAACCGGTCCTCAAACGAACGTGCCATTTAGGCAGCCAACGTGCCCTCAGCTAGGAAACCAGCCGAACTGCCAACTGGACGCCCAGTCAAATCCTCTGCCTAATTACGAGCCGAAATATCAGCCAAACTACCAGTCAACCCTTTCGCCTGACTCCCAGCAATTACCAAACACGTGGCCGGCAAAACCGAACCCATTCTTCGACGATCCACAAGGGCTAGCCGCCCTGGAAACGGAGGAGCAGCCTGCCGCCCATAGCAAACACAGCCCATCAGAGCTGGCCCTGTACCCGGAACATTCTCAGAGTGCTCCAGGGCCACAACCCGCAGACGAGGCGGCCCAGTATGAAAACGATGGCAGATTCGGTCAATGGCCACGACCGCCGATGCATGCAGAGACTTTCTCCAAGCCGGAGGGGGTACTGCGGTTCTGGGGTGAGTGTATCGACCCGCGCTTGCTCAATGCCAATTGAGATAAGTGCGGGTGATGCGTTAGTTTGGTGAGTGTTTTAGTGTGAGAGGGTCTAGACGTGCATGGCGTTGGCGAAGGCATGTTCAGACAGGAGTTGTAAAGCGCTATTAGAGGCTGGATTGAGAGCGGATGCACATGCTCCGTATATACACTGATATTCAGCCTTTGCGCGAGGGTGCTTTGGTGCATCTGTGTTGGGTGCCCTTGCAATAGTCAGTGTTTAAGGTTTGTACATGTGGACTTCACGCTGCGGACATTTGTCCGATACACCAGTGACATATGCCACCAGTGCCTTGAAAGATAACGCTAGGACTGCTCACTGTAGATCATGCTGCGTTGGATAGCACAAGAGCCGAAACCGATACGGAACTCTGTAAGTAATCATTCTGTCTTCATATCCCTTTATATCTACAACTAGTTACTAGAAGGGGGAGTGTCATGAGAGCCAATTCGTATCTTATCCACAGTTATCCTTTGCGTTCCTGCTGGAACCTTCTTTCAACAAGGGGACTTAAGCTAGTGCAGTTCTAGTTAAGGGTATATTTCCTTTATTCAATTCGGTCGGTGGCCATTTCTTCCCAGGTCTCTGAGTGTAACAACTTTATCATCAAATTCGACTGCGGTCATATCTCTTCGAATCCCAATTCGGTTAGTAGCTAAAAGTGTGTATATATATTTCTTTGGTTCCTTTAACTCTTTCTTTCTTCAACACCTTTCTTCTTCTTCTTCAAACCCGGAATACCCCAGTTGTAGTTGACTTCGGGCTCTCTCTTTCTTTCTTCTCTCTTATCCCATCAATTCTTTTAACCTCCAACACCTCCTTTTCCTAAACTCAGCCCCAAGCCAACTACAGCTGAGACGTCTTGTTGGAAGAGTCAATCTCTCCCATCCAAATAAATCTCATTCGATTCAATATTCAACTTCCTCAAACCCTGACTCTTTCAACCTTACCGGGCTTTTGGTCAACACCAAGAAACTCGTTCAGTCATGGCAACCGATCAGACTGGGTTGCATCCGCAACAGCGAGTCATTGACATAATCACGGGATTTTACATGGAATTGGCAAACCCTAGCGATAAAAGAAACAAACCCCGCAGAACTCGGGTTGTTATTGGTCGGCTCAAGGGAAAACACGATTGCGTGTGGGCCAAGTTAGGAGGTGGGGGTGCTCTGGAGTACTACGCCGCACAATTCGACAACAGTGGCGAGCCCGTGGAAGAAAATGTTTCTCGGAATCCGGTTAGAACTACCTCTGACGCGATTGAACTGCTTCCCTCGATTCAGGATTTTGCCTCATGTCCTACCGAGATTGAGGAAGAGATACGGCGCCGACTAGAATACGTACGCGTAAACGGTCAGGACGATCCCAGCTGCAGCATTGACATGCCACCTATCGCCCCGGCCTCGACACAGAGTGTCTTACAGATGAACGTCGCGAGCAGTCCTAGCACATATACACCACATACATCAACGCCCACTCAAGGATGCGTGGTTCATGAGGCAAACTTGCCATCTGGTGTAGCCCAGCTTCCGCGTTTCAAGGCCCGGATCGGCGGCAAAGGTCACCGATTGATCGGCGAACTGAGAGATGGAACTTCCCCCGCCGGTGAGAGGAACGCAGTTTCAATAACTGTTGGTTGTAAAAGAAACAGGCCTCGAATCTGGGTTGAGTCATGCAACATGAAGAACGAAAACCTCGAGAAGCCCGATAAATTCGGCGGAGTGAATGCTAGAGACGCTGCTTCGCCGATCAAAAAGCTTACTGAAAGTATTTCATTCCTCCCAGTCTTGGGTGAATTTGCGGACCATCCCGAACGCCTTTGGCCGGCTTTCAAGCAGCACCTTGCTCGAGAGTATCTAGCCGCGAATCCCACCGGCAATGCGTCCACAACGTCTGCTGACGATAGCATTCAGCATGGAAACCCCGACATTGATGAAGACATGGATAGCGGTCACACAGACACCACCGACACTCTCTGAACTATGGGTACTTTTCAGGGTACTATTGCTCGGGAACCTGCTGACATTCAGCATTGATCTTTTCAGACTGCTAGCGCATTGAAAAGTTGCTGGCACTTCACACGGCATTACCACTTTTCGGACTACCTACCAGCACTATTGAGAAGCTGCTGAGATTTTCTCATGGCACTACCACTTTCGGGGCTATTGAGGAGATGCTGAAGTGGTAGCATTGGCACGACGGCATTGGCACGGACCGCACGGCAGGGTATGTTTATTGGATCGAGGGGCGTAGATAAATTGAGCAAACGATGGCAGGACCCAACACCATCATATCTTCCTGTTTTCTTTTCTCTTTTTTCTTTTTTCTGGGCGACTTTCCGGTATTAGCTATAGTCACTCTTTCAACATACACTTTCAGCATGAGGTACAGTCACTCTCTAGCACAAAAAGCACAGAACCGACTCTGGAGGTTCAAATTACACTCGTTTAAAAAAAAGTTCTTCGATGCATCTTAATATGTGGTTTGGTTTTTAGATAAACAAGCATTAAAAACACCACATGTGCAGTATCATAGATGCTAAATACAAACAGGATCCAGAGGAACGGCAACAGGCAACAATTCGACTTGGCCGATGATCAGGAAAAGTGCACTGCCAGTGAGTCTTTACTCCAGACTTTTGACAACAAGCTCTACCAACACATTCGAATTAGGTTAATGAAGCTCAGTGGCCAACAGCAGCGCCATCACATTCTAAGTCACGAAGCGTCTTCTTAATTTTTGCAAGCACAAAGATGCATCCACAAAGATTTCTTTCAAACGAATGTATTCCTGTTTCCAGCCAAACTTTTGCAATCTGTGTGTGAAGAGTGTCTGCCGCCGTCGCCCAAAGCTGCATTTCCGAAAGACTGATTGCAGCCAATACTAAGGACTTACGGATGATAGGTTTCGCAGGCGGAGAAGCGCTATTCTTCATCTTCGTCTAGCATGTTCTCGCGAACAGCCAGAGCCGCAACGTTGTGTCGAAGCGCTACCGCCAGCGTTTTATCATCCTCCGTTGGCTCTTCCAACTTTTCGTCTTCGCCAATAATGTCTTCCAAGTCCTTGGGGTCCACTATGTCTCCGATTTCTGCCGCGATTGCAATGATGGTGCTGTTGCGCAGCCACTTGCCGGGCCTACCCCAGTACTTGCCCGTCGAAATGATCTCACGATCCTTCTCCCATCCTGGCACAGCGGCCTGCCGTCGGCAAAGCCACGACACAAGAGCTCGGACGTATAGGTATTCGAGGCCAGGGCGTGCAAGCGTCTTGAACTCAAGTTGAACATCCTGTAGGTCGCGCACTCGTACATCCTTGCCACCGCTTCCCTCGCAGATAAGATCGTCCAATTCCAATTCGGTGGCGGTGAGGAGTTTGACTTTGAGTGCGCCCTTAACATCATGGTCCGGAACTATGACAAGTCGGCACCTATCCATTGCTTCTTCTACTTCAGAATTTAGAAGAAGACCATTCTCCTCGTTCCAGATCTTGGTGAACCCATCTTTAAGAGGGACGCCGAATAACTTAGCCGCGTTGTACTCGCCAATACCGTAGGGGACGATGTGCGCGGCTTTGACGTATTTTTTGTTGTGCAACTTCTTAGTAACAGGGCACCAGAGCTTACGTCCATTGTCTGTGTTATCGTCCTGGTAAGCCTTGATAAGACAGCTTCTGAAATCTGACTGGTCAGACTTGTTCCGACTATCTTTCTTCAATCTAGAGCCATATGGTTCAGGAAGTGCGCCGATGATCGCCGTTGCATAACCATGGATTAAGGTTTTCGACTGGTCTCCTATCAACATCTTGAACTCGACCACGGCGCGCCTGTTCGCAAGAGCTGCGCGTTCCCTAAGAACGGCATAATCGGCTTCATCGATATCTTGGCGCAAGAGTTTAGCTTCAGGTTCGTCCACGAGTTGCTCGCTGGCTTTTCTAGCGAGTTCATTACGGCTCTGTCTTAAGAAGTCACGGTACTTCTCGGTGTATTCGAAGCGTTTGTCAACATATTCCTTGACGCCAGCTCTTGTGAGATCGTTTCCTAGGGGCTTGCTTGAGCACCGTTCTAAGTGTTCTTGCTCCCGGTCAAGGTCTTTTCCCTGGTTGGACAGCTCGAGGCTTAGAGACCGTGGCGTTGTGGGCGCTCGGGGAACTTCGAGGTTTGTGGAAAAAGTCGCATCCAGCAGCATGCCACGGTGCTCTCTTGCGAGCCTCCTCTTTTCGACATGAGGGATATTGGTTGGGCCTGGGGGTGAGGGTGTACGTGAATCCGACCCCATGTTAGTGGTGGAAGATTGTGGTTGGCGTGTGAGTTTACAGGTAGAAAGAAAAGGTGCCGTGGGAAGCCGTGGAAGAGCTTGGATGAGGCTAGGATTCTGGGATACCTTCAGAGGCAAGAGGTGAGGAGGCGTGGGAGGGTGAGAGGATGTTGGTGGTTCGCAGCTCTTTAAAGCAGCGGCCGCCGCCTGCTCGCTTAGCGCGTGCTCGAACCATGGGACCGTCAAGTAGCACGTGTCCTTGACGAGAGCATGCGTTCTTAAACGACTTCTCTTTCTTGTCAGCTTTCAGGTTTACTCAGGCAGGATACCGTTACTTCTCAGACCAGCATTATGCCACGGTCCACAAATGCTCAGTCACGGCACGACTACTGCTACTTTCACTTTGCTTCTGACACCAGTCCAATTGAGTTTTGGATTCCGGCCCCAGCTTCTGAAAGGCAGACGCAAATGGCGACATCCACAGGACAGACGGCAGGGACCACGGCACAAACTGGCGTGGTGACAGCGAGCCTATGGACCTCGACGACTCGCCAGCCGCTCACCCTCAACAGACGACCACGAGCTTTAAGATCCCCCTAGACTAGGGCCAGCCCCGCTAGAAGCACTTCGCCGTAGACCTCTGCGTCACATACTCGATCGAGGGCCTTACCCTACCCAGACTTCACAATATCCCGTCACCCACTTTCGCGGTCCTCAATTTCTCGGCCATCGAGGAGCACCTCGCAAAGCTGCGCGCGCCCGTCACCACCGCCGCAACCAAGCTCATCGCCCAACAGCAGGGCCTCACAGAGGAACAGCGCAGCGATTTGCGTAATCTCGAGATCTGCGCGGCGATCGTGCGTTTTCAACAAAGTGAGGAGGAAGGTGATGCTCTTGGCAAGCGCATCCCACTCTACACTTTTATGCGCTCCGACGCAAAGTGGCCGAGCAACAGAGAACTACACGTCAAGATCGTCGTGCGCGCGCAGAAGGGCGACAATGCGCAGAGTGGCGCCGCGGAGAAGTCGTCGGCGCTGTCAGCATGGATTCGCAAATGAGGGCGGGCTCGTATGGCGCGGAGCGCGCGGTTGCAGTGGGGTTGCCGAGGTGGTGGATTTTCTCTCTCGACGACATTTTGGGAGTGCCTGCGGTCGGCAGGCGGAGATTTCATAATTTCCCTTGCTCTTCGCGTCGGCTGCCTGACGGGCCTGGCGTCGCCTCACCTATCTGGCTCTACGCGGAGGGCAATGAAAACCTTGGAGTAGCGATGGTGATTTTGGTGATTGTCATCTTCTTCTTTGGATTGTGGATGGGGTCGAAGTCATGGTTTAAATAAATGACTAGGTAGGGTGGACACCAATTATCGGGCGGTTGTCGGTACTGGTAGCAGATAGATTGGAAACGAGAAGACAGACAACAGAACAAATGGCGGATAATTTGAAGGTCTCAGAAACAAATAGGCCGCTCCGAAATATGGTGCAGAGAAGAGACCTACCTATGAGACGGCAGTGGACCTCCACTGTCATCACCTCACAACCAACTCATCACACACCCATGTGACCCACAAATCACGTGCGCACCACCAACTCATCCCTCCCTGTTCCCAGCCGCCCACCACCACGTCAGCCCTACACCTGCAAATCGCACCACGCATCCCATCGCACAGCCAGGGACACCCGCATCACCCTCATCCCTCCCCTCATCAGCATCAGCACACGCAGCAACAACAAAAATAGCAGCAGCGGCAGCAGCAGCGGGGGCCAAAAGGCAGGCCGGCAGCTCCAGCCCCATCGCATGGGGGCAAGCCAAGGGCCGCGGGCAGGCACGGCAGGGCAAGCAAAAAAACCCCTGCGCGGCACCCCAGCGCCCCCACAGCGCGCGACGACCAAGTAATTCTCCGTATGCAGCTAGAGGGCACCCACACTTCGCTCCCTTCTAGAAGACTGCAGGGCCAGTTGGGCGTTCTGGAAAACGACGCCGCTCACGCACGTTGCACATCCCCTCGACGGATGTGACGACGCCGCGACTCGTGCCTGCCGGGGTCCGCCGCCGATCATTGTGCCTCCTGGACGTCCTGGCGCTGTCCGCGTGCTGCGCGTTGCCTGCGTTGGTAATTTCGCCCGCCTGAACCAAGCCTGGCCGTGTCGGTGTGTGGTTGGGGCTGAGTCGTGTGTGCGTGCGTGGGCGTGCGTGCTGGTGTTGTGCATTGTAGGTGTGCTTGTTCATGCTGCGCTGCGGTGCGCTGATGGGCATTGTTGTGATGGCGCGTGGGGTTGGGCGTTTTGTCGACCTTGCGCTCTTTGAGACGCCGTTGCTTTGATATGAGCGGACGAGACAAGCAATGAGCTTCATGCTCTCTGGTCATGTATCAACGGTTCGAAAGAAAGCGGCTTTGTTCACGATAGATCAGCAATGGAGACGCAACGGTAAGTTCAATTTCTAGCATTCCGGCGTTTCCTATATACGCCCGTCCACTACAATTGAGAGAAGGATTAATAGGTAGTATTCTGCGTGAGAAGAGAGCCTCGGCTTTAACCTTTAAACGGCCCTAGTATGTATATAGACTGCGTGACCGCTTCCACAGCAAACGGCAAACAACCCACAACAAACGGTCATAGAGTAGAGATGTCCTTTCCACAACTCTGCCAAAACGACCTCCACACACCCTAACCACACAAGCACAAGCACACTCCCCCCAACCCACCCTCAACACATCAATCAACCGCCCAACCCAACCCAACCCACACCACCACCGCACCACCACCGCCCACCACACCACCTCCTCCCACACGCACATCCACATCCACGCACACAAGAACCCTCAACCCCCGCCCCAAACCGCCCCAAAAGACGCAAGACACAAGACGCAAACGCAAGACGCAAACGCAAGCGACCCAGCTAACCGCCACGAACACATGGCGCCTGCGCCCACGCCCACGCCCACGCCCGCACCACCCCGCGCGCCGCGACCCGGCTACGCAGCGCACTCTAGTGCCCGTGCCGGCGCCACACTGCTGCCCACGTGCGACGAGGACGTGGTAGGCACCTAGGTAAGTATTTAGGGCTTTTGCTTGCTGGTTGATCAGCCCACCTGCCTGCTTGTCCGTCCGACTCCGGCCGACTTTTTGTTCGTTATTTCGTCCCGTTGCCTTGTCTTGTCTTGGCTTGGCTTGCCTTTGGTGCTGTGGGTTAAGCCATGGTCATGCCATACCATGGAATATAGGATAGGTTAGGTTGGGCTGTGTTAATTCATGCCGAGTTATAGCTGCCACGGCGCTGCTCTACCCTACGCTGCGCTTCACTTCGGTGTGCTATGAACTGCCCGGATCGGAGGAGAGAGGAGCAGGAGGGGAGGGGGCCCGGGGGCACGTCAATCTAGTCCGCGCGCGCCGGCAGCTCCGAACGCCCTCCGTGGGCACTGTAGGTCAGTGGCCACGGCGTCACGGCGTCACGGCGCCACGGCGCCACGCCCGTGATTGTTGAGTGATACAAAAGATGAGCCTGTGTGTGTGCTGAGTGATGAGTGATGAGTGATGAGCCAAGCCCGTACAATGTACGACGGCAGCAGCTTCTCCGCCTTCGTCCGAGACCCTTCTCTTTTTTCGCCTCGTGCTTGCTTGCTTACTCCGCTCCGTCCTTTTTAGAAACTATTTCATTTCTCTATCTCTGCTCCTTTCGGCCCCGCCGACGCCGACGACACACCCCGACGGCCCGTGTAGAGCTAGCGCTGTGCCCTTAAGGCTGTTTACTTTCTTCTTATTCCTCTCTGAGTACTTCTCTTCGCCTTTGACTGACTGATTGCGAGATAAGGTTTCAAAAAGCGAGGAAAGAGAAGGCCCGATCTCACGGGCCATCGTTGGTATATCCAATGCCCAGCATCATTTCCCTTTCTCCCACCTGTGGGTTGTGTCTTCTCTCTGTGTGTGTTGTGATCTTTCCCTTCTCCCATGTCCCTTCCGCCCACCCACCTCCCATGAGAACCATCCCGCTTGTGCCCGCCCAATAGTATACCGCCTCCGGCCCAGAACAAAAAAAATGATGAAATACAGTAGCGAAAAATGAAGAGTGACGCGTAACCCGCAGAGAGGACAAGAGACTAAAACGACAAAAGCCAGCAGAGGAGAAAAAAAAAAAAAAAAAAAAAAAAAAAAAAAAAAAAAAAAAAAGAGAGAAAAAATATTTGTGAAACCAATACCGTCCGCTCCGTAAGATCAACTGCAAGCAAGCACTATGAATGTTAGGGGGGGTTGCTGATTAGGTCGGCCACCATCGGCCTGAAAGCCCGCCTCTTGGGCCCGCAACGGCGCGCGTGCACGCACCAGCACACCGTCGCTCGACCAGCGGGTGTAGTGTGTATAGTTGATGGACATGATGTGACGACCAGATGATGAAATGCGAGGGGAAAACGACGGGAACAAGATAAAAAAAGAAGAAAACGAAGACGCTCATCAAGCGTGTAGCTGGCGCACGCTCGCGCGCTACACGCACGAACCAAAGAAGGAAATTAGGGGACAGAAATGAAAAAGCAAACGAAATCAGACAGCGATGGAAAAATAGCATACAGCCTCCAGACGAAACCAGACCAACAGAGGAAAAACGACTAACGGGAGACGAAAGCAGAGAGCCACCAGGGGAACCCACCGCCTACCAGGAATGCAACAAAGGGAAGAAAGAGTAAAGGGGATATGATATGACGAGGGAACTTTTTCGATGGTTTGAGCCGCAATCGCGGGGGTGCCGAATCGACCGTAGTATGAAACACCCCTGCCATATTAATTTCCCCACAGGTAATTGGTCCCGAAAAACGCCCTGGAACTCCAATGCTTGCAGGCTCTGCTGGACCCCTCGTTCGAAAACCCGTGAACGCATTTGTTGATGGAAGACTAGATCGAAATTGGTTTCGTAATGTATATCGGCCGTACGGTGGCGATTGTATTAGGATGTGCCCAGGGGGTGCGGCTGCGCACAGATGGTTCTTGTTTGCGGCGATTGACGGGAGAGGCTTGTGGGATGGGGAGCGTGGTATGGTAGCGTAGGGCGATCATAAGATGCCCGAGTCTTTGAGCGCATTCTGCAGAATGGTTTCTTTGACGGCCGCAAAGACTAGCCGGATATTCGACGTGTCGGTGGCTTGCGTCAGGCTAGGTTTCACGTCAGCCAAGCCATGTCGAGGAATCTGGAACACGTTTCGACTTACTGCGGATAGAGGTTGAGATGCGCCCGATTCACCTGGTTGAATCTCCAAAGGAGGTACTTGGCTGCGCGGTTGACATCGTTGCCACCCGAATAGTCGGGGAAGTAGTTTCCGAGTGGTGACCGGGCCAGCTTGGCCTTGAAAAGATCCACTTTGTTGAGGAAAAGGATAATGCTGGTCCGCATGAACCATCGGGAGTTGACAACGGAGTCGAAAAGCACCAGGCTTTCCATCATGCGGTTCTGGATGCTCTCGTCAGCGAAACCTTGGCTGGATGCTGGGCATCACTAGGCACCTACCTGGCTGCTCTCCTCAAGCAAAACTTGGTCGTACTCGCTCAGCGCGACGCAGAATATGATGGATGTCACATTCTCGAAACAATGAATCCACTTCTTCCGCTCGCTTCGCTGGCCGCCCACGTCGAACATGCTGCAACCGGTCAGCGGAAGTCCCCTAGGTTAGGGGACGTTCAGCGGGCTTACTGGATGCTCAGTTGGCCCATGGTAAACCGCGTCTCGTAGATACCAGTGGTCTTCGTGCGGGCGCGGAGGACATCCGACTCGATAGGGATGTAATCGGGCGCGGCTATCCTCGAGACCTCGTCGAAGAAACTGTCATTTGTTCAGCGCAACATTCGGTCGACCGGGGGGGCGGGAAGCCTTACTAGGGCGCCGAATCCATCAGGTAGAACTCGCTGGAGCGCTCCAACACCTTCTGCATGCACGGGTCTCGCCACACCGAGCTGATGGCGGTTCCAACCTTGGAGTCAAGCGGTTTCTCGGGATCCGGGTCGACCGTGTACTCCATGAGGTAGTCGCAATACTCGGAGTTGCCTGGAAGTTGCGGCGCAATATCGAACTGTCTCATGGCTCCAATGAGCGACTTTGCGCAGTCGATGACGTTCTTGTAGATTGTGAGCCGGTACATTGAGAGCTCCTCCACGGTGTAGCCGTTCTGATGTATTATCTTCATCTGCTTGACTATCGTCGACTTGCCGCTCTCGCCGGAGCCTGTGAGCCTCTGGTTAGCATGCATGCGCGTAGGCAGATGCGGCTTAGAGGGCAGCGTTACCCAACAGTAGGATCTTGCATTCTCGCCGCAGCCGCCGCGAGTCCTCCTCGAGCTTCCTGTCAATTGCCTGGCTGCGCTTCTTCTGCTCCGCATCTTCGGTGTTACTGCTCATGCAAATGCCCATCCTGAGTGGTCGGCGCCGACGAATCCGGCGACAAAGGAAGCGGTCGGGCAGGAGGCACGTGTGGGCGGCGACCGGCGGCGACGGCGACACGGAAGAGAAGGGCGGTCACGGAATTGCGGAGGGACGACGAGAACGAGCGATTTGGCGGGGGCGAGGATCGGGGCCGTGGGGTCGCGGCGTCGCGGTGTCGGGCGTGGCGGCGCTTCGGCGCAAGATGATGTCGACGAGGGATGCGGGAGAGACGGCGCGATGGGACGGTAGCGGGCGGTAGCGGGCGGAGAGACAGTGATGGGGGGGGGATGGGGCTACGGGCGAGGTCGAGGTCGAGCGAGTGTGTCGGCGGGTTGGTGGGTGGTGGGTGGGTTGTTGGGTCCTGTCGGGGTCGGGTCGGGTCGAGAGGAGAGAGAGAGGGCTGAGAGTGGGTTCGAGGTAAGATGTTGCGGTGATGTGCAGGCGTAAGTAGTCCCTGTCCGGTCGCGTCTGTGCGCCTTGCCTTGCGACAGCTGTGCTTGACGAGAGAGAGAAGAGCGGGCTCGAGGGCAGGGCGATTCAAATAGGGTGGGCGGAGCAAAAAGCGGTAGGGGGCGTGGTCAAGCCAGGCGCGTCGTCGTCAGTCAGTCGGTGAAGAGAAGAAGAAGAGAGAGAGAGAGAGAATGTGTGTATAGAGAGGGCAGAGAGAGAGATGGATGGTGACGGTGCCAGGGAGGCGGGCCGGCGTCTTCCAGCAGCAGGCAGGCGGGCGGGCAGCGAGACAGTCGTCGAGGGCCTAGGGGGCGGGTCATCAGCGCCATAATGCCATTCACCATTCCTGCTGGCCAGCCCAATTTGCAGTGCAACCCTTTCTTCATTAGTTAACGGGCGCGCTGTGACCCGCCGCGTTTCATCGCCCGCGCCAGGATGCAATTGTCGCAAATGGCATCGCACTCGACTCGGCCCTTTCCGCCCAAGCCCGTGACACTGCTTAAGCCGTTGCCCAGTGCATGCCCGGTCGGTGACGTCGCCGCTCAACCTAGCCTCCGCAGAGTCTGATCGCGCGCCGATTTGCCTAGTAAACTAGCACCTGCTGCCACGCCTGCGCCGGGCGACAAACTTCCCATCCATCCACTCTTCCTGTTCTTCTCGACCGCTGCCAATTCGCTCGCACCCGTTCGCTCCCACGGCCACCCACGCCCCGAGCCGCCACTCCTCACTTCCCTCTCTCTCTACTCCATCACTCTCCATCTCTCGACCCGCCGCCACACCCCTCCCTCCCACTTCCACCCCAAGTCACCCCTCAAAATGGCCGAATTCGTGCGCGCCCAGATCTTCGGCACCACCTTCGAGATAACGAGCAGGTACGCTTTCGCTCCCGCTCTCGCCGCTCCAATGCGCCTGCTGACTCTGTTCCGCCGCCCAGGTACACCGACCTGCAGCCCGTCGGTATGGGCGCCTTTGGTCTTGTCTGGTAAACGCCCCTCTCCGCGCAACCTCCCGCTGGACGCGTCATACTGAACAATGTCTGCAGTTCGGCCAAGGACCAGCTCACCGGCCAGGCCGTCGCTGTCAAGAAGATCATGAAGCCCTTCAGCACCCCCGTCCTCTCCAAGAGAACGTATCGCGAGCTGAAGCTGCTGAAGCATCTCAGGCATGAGAATGTAAGCGCCCGCGCTCCCGCGGTCTAGCCCCTGGGCTGCCCCGCTAACCCGTTCCAAAGGTCATCAGTCTTAGCGACATCTTCATCTCCCCGCTGGAAGACATGTAGGCCAACGCCCCATCGCGCCACTTTTTTTTCGCCATGCTTACCCACCATCTAGCTATTTCGTCACCGAGCTTCTCGGCACCGACCTTCACCGTCTGCTCACCTCGCGACCTCTCGAGAAGCAGTTCATCCAGTACTTCCTGTACCAGATTCTGGTGAGCGCCCACTGCGCCGCGCATACCCATGGTGTTTGCTGACGCTCTTCTAGCGCGGACTGAAATATGTCCACTCCGCGGGTGTCGTTCACCGTGACCTGAAGCCCAGCAACATTCTGATCAACGAGAACTGTGATCTGAAGATTTGCGACTTCGGATTGGCCCGCATCCAAGACCCGCAGATGACCGGATATGTCTCTACGAGATACTACAGGGCTCCGGAGATTATGCTCACGTGGCAAAAGTACGACGTGGAGGTTGATATCTGGAGCGCGGGCTGCATCTTCGCCGAGATGCTCGAGGGCAAGCCCTTGTTCCCCGGCAAGGATCACGTCAACCAGTTCTCCATCATCACGGAACTCCTGGGTACTCCTCCGGACGATGTGATTCAGACCATCTGCAGCGAGAATGTAGGATATCCCCCCAGATTCGCTCGCGGAGCAGCTGCTGACCACCGCGTACCAGACCCTGAGATTCGTCCAGTCGCTGCCCAAGCGTGACCGCCAGCCCCTTGCCCAGAAGTTCAAGAACGCAGATCCGCTTGGTAAGTCGATGCGCATTGTCACACAGAGCCCAGCTGATTGTTGTAGCTATCGACCTCCTTGAGAACATGCTCGTCTTCGACCCGAAGAAGCGCGTGCGGGCCGGTGATGCTCTCGCCCACCCTTACCTTTCGCCTTACCACGACCCGAGTGACGAGCCGGTTGCGGAGGAGAAGTTCGATTGGTCATTCAACGATGCTGACCTCCCGGTGGACACCTGGAAGATCATGATGTATGATGGCCCCGCCGCGCAGTTGATGGGCGCCTTGCTAATTACGAATGTCGCAGGTACTCCGAGATCCTCGACTACCACAACGTGGACGCCCAGAGCGCCGATGTCGACGCCAACGGTGCCAGCTAGTTTGAACGCCTTTTAACGACCATGAGCATTTTCACGCGGCCTTACCACTCGATATTCCCCGGCATCGGACATTCTCTGTGTACCGGAGTGGCAGTGTCGCAAGTTCACTCTAGCACTTTCTTTTACCCCAAACTCAACAACAGTAATCGATTTCCAATCTTGTTGCTTGTGCTTAGAAAGCTACGACCACAGACTTTGGATGGCGAAGACATTCCATGAAGCATGAAAGCGGCGAACCAGCAAACGGGATGGGATTCGTGGAGCTGCCGGCTATTCTGGCGGCTTATCTGTGTGACGAAAGACGGCATGAATGAACGGAGCCATTAGCAGGGTTTCTGAGTTTTTTTTTTTTTTTTTTTTTTTTTTTTTTTTTTTTTTTTAACTTTGTTTCGTGTTTTTTCCTAATCAGCATGCATAGATGACGCAATAACAATGAGTCTCCCAGGGTGTCCAACCTGTTGATTGCGCGGTTGTCTCCGTTTCAGCGCGGAGACGTGGAGAGCCAGTCGAGTTGCAGTGCGGATGTGGCTGTGCGATCGTCGAAGCGCCCCGAGATCAGCGGGTGGCGACGTATCTCCCAGCAACGTGTGTACGACTGTCCCGCCCAGAGGGCTCCTTCAATTACATAGTAGCGATTGACGCGCCCAGCCACATGGGATCTGCAACAATAGAGGCTACCCACCAATCTACATGTCAAATACAGACAACGGACTTGACATCCGGACAAGTGGTGCGAAAGCGTGCTACGGTAGCCAGTGCCCACCCTACGGGCTCCGTAGCAGGTTCTAGACCGGCGCGGAGCCCAACGGACCATTACTTTTTCGTCGGAAGGGCAGCAGCGCGAGCTCCGACACAAAAGCGCCCAGCTGAAAGGGAGCGTGGGAGGGACAGCGCGCGGGTAATGGAACACACGACGCCACGTCTATTTTTCGCAGCGCTGCGCGACAAGGAGATTCCGAATCCCTGCACCGCCGGCCGAAAGCAGCCACGAGGCGACGAGATGGGCGACGAGGCGTGGAGGGGCATCCATGCCATACCCCGCCTGGCCTGCCCGCGCGATGATGGGCCGACGTTCATCCGACTAGACTTCGATCTTAACCTGGGTTCTTGGGTTGGTTGGTGATCGATCAGTCGGGCCTCCAACACTGCTCCAACTTTTTTTTGGTGTTTGGGCCTTGGGGCCTTGGGGCCTTGGGGCCCCGCTTTAGCCGGATGGATCCTCGCGACCGGCCTCGCGTCGCGTCGCATCGATGCACCACCGCTGCCCGGTCTGTATCGTGGTCAGCGGGCGCGCGTGTCGCTGGCGAGAAGAGGCTTGCATAAAGCTAGCTCGTCATCCGCGTGAATGGAGGGGTGCTTTGCTTGCTCGTTCGCGTGCGTCTTTGGCACATCGTCGATTTATCGCAATTTTTTCGAAGTCGACGGCGAGACTGTCGTCGGCTGTCAGACGCCGGCCAATCGTACTTTGCGGCAGGGCACTGAGTGGGTGCTTGATGTGTACGCACCTGATCTTTTGCGGTTGCCCACGTGATTGACTGCGCCGTAGGTGGTATGGAGAACTGCATCGCCGGCTTTCTAGGCCCTGCGTCTTTGTCTTGAGCGGCTATGCTGATACATTCAGGGAAAGGAGGAAGACAAATCTTCTCTACAAATCTATAGAGTATGTACTTTCTTCGCCAAAGCCGATGCCGAATTCTCCATCAGCAAGGGACTCAACTGCCTTCGCCTACCGTTCTACAAGGTATCACCACTTTAAAGATGACATGAACTCTAAAACATTAAAAGAGAAGGAATTCAAGCATATGCATCAGGGAGTCGGCCTCTGCGCCAAGCACAAAACCTATACTATCCATGCCGTACTCGGACAACACTCACCAATCACGCAGCATTCTGGGGTCACAGGGTCCATCACGACCGCGCTATCTGGGCATGGGAGCAGATATCTGCTTGCTACCTTGGGCCGCTGGATATACCCAATCAACGAGCAGTGCGGTTCCGAACACTGGCTGCTTCTCGCTTTCTACGATGGGACTGAGCCGGCTATCCGTGGAATCGTCACACACTATTATATTTTTGGCCTGCATGGCAACACGTCCGCGATGGAGTAGAGGTACTTTGACAAAGCCCCTTGTCTGCTCTAAGCCTACGCAACTCAGTGCAGAAGATGCTAGCTATTAGCATGCTTTCATTGAAGCAAGCCGCCAATACGTAGCTAAAATAAAACGCCCAGGAATCGCCGTAGAAACTTCCCGCTGTCATTTGAAGCGCAAAGTTTCCCAAGAACCGAAGAAGCAAATTTCTAAGAGCATACGTAATCTAACTATCAAGGAATTCGTCTCAAGCATCGAAGTGGAAAAATACCCCCGAAACAAGATACCTATCCCAAAGAAAACCCATCAGTGGAATAATAGGACAAGATAGCCGTGAAGCACAGCATCTATTCTATTTCCATGCAATCCGAGTCGGAATCTTCGATAATTACCACCGGATCCTCGTTTTTGGGATATAACGACCTTCGCATTGAGATTTCTTTCTAAATTCGCATCAGGAGTCGACAACAAATACTGGGAAAACTGTCTGAAGCAGGTCAAGCTATCCTTCATATGTTGAGTCCCTTGAAACAAAACGAAGAACTTCAGCCTGAATCCAGTTTCTCCACCAAGCTTGCTGGCAACATGCTCGCGGATCCGGGGATCGATCTCGTTGCTGCTTGCCTTTTTCGAGCCTGAACATTTCATCCTGATGGGCTGAAGCTCGGTTTGGCTTGGAAGTTGGTTGTGGAAGACTATGTGCAGCTTGACGGGTGAGCTGTCGTTGTTGCTTCCCCATCGCGGATCTAGGTCCGCGTGGCAGGGTTGCTTGGCCATTTCACACTCGCAAGCACTGCTGTCTGGAACCGTAGTCGAATTGCGGTTGCGGTTACTGGAGCGGATGTTATCGTTGTGGACGAGCGGCACACGCCTTTTGTCGGCGGAGCCGAGCTGGTAGACAGTGTCTTGGCTACCCGCCGGCACCTTGAGCTTCTGTATCCGTTCGCTGATCTCCTCTTCGATGGCTTCTTTCTTGTCGAATGCTTCGAGGTCGGGCAAAAGCTCAACACCGTGGTATGAGACGAGCGATTGTCTGTTGTCTGGCCTTTTGGTGGCTTTCCCCTCCAACGTGAAGTCAGAAAGATAGTAGTTTATCCGGCCTTTTCCACGCACTGTCGCATATATGGCACTTGAGGCGCCTCGGTACCTCCCAACGACTAGGCGGGTCGCCCCAGTTTTTGAAGCCCGATTGGTGCCGACTCCGGTGATTATGTCTATGACGGCCTGCGTAGGGCGATGGAGAGTTGTATCATTCGTCCTAAGCCTATCATCATTTTCGACGTGGCTTCCTCTCGGTATTGCGGTGCGGTTGATGTGGCCACCTCGAGCTTAAGGAATGTTAGCATCTATCCCCACACTCCAAGTTCTAGAACATTGATAAACAAACTCTTACCGGTAGTGGCACTAGTCGCTTTGCCTGTAGCTGCGGGAATAGTACTAGGTCCGCCGTTCTGGCTATTAAATTCCGCGTATACTGTTGGATACGCTCTAGAACCCCAAGAAATAGGCGATAGAAAGGACGGAGTAAAAAGTGAATTCCCGTTATTATGACTAAAATGGGTATTGAAATCCTTTTCCGGCTTGTCGTAAATTGATCTCGTTATACTGCAAAGTTTCTGTTTGAATGTTAGTATTCTGCTTACAAGGGTGAGGTGAGAAAATGAACTCCTACCTCATATGAAATAATCTCTGGATCTAGACATGAAATCCGCCATGTTGGGCTGTCGTTGCTACCGAGCAGCCCGATTTTGACTGTCGGCATAGAGTGTCTGTTCTGATAAACTGGCTCCTGGGCTCAGATTAAGGCGTGGATGTGTAAAGGTGAAGGTTTAGATGAGAGCGGACAGAAGCAAAGTGGCTCTTAAGGAAGAAAGGGCCCTCGTGACTGTAAACGACTTAACAAACAGTTGCTGTTAAAGGCGGTTAGACACCAACATGTTTTCGTCAAAGCAATCAAAGATCGTTTTAGTTTACAAAGCAAAGAAAAAGTAAAGCCGCCAAAGTCCAATAAAAAGAGCAAAGCTCTAATCATGGTAGCAAGGAGTTGGACTCGTCCGTAACCCATCCCCATCCGTGGAGAATCGCAGGGGTAAAGACGCCAAAGTTTAACCAAAAAAGGAAAACCAGGGAATTAGTGCAGTAAGATGCTGGACTCGTCTAGAAACGATCCATGAAAAACAAAGCAAGTGAAGCAATCTTTTCAACGCATAAAGAAAGGGTAAACTCGCTAAAATCTACCGGAAAAGTGAAACAAGCCCTAATGGTAAGAAAAAACTTGTTCAAACCCCATCAATGAAAGAAAGCTGCTGATGTAGCAATTGTCTGACGCCTTCTGGAATCTAATCGAACAAAATGTGTCTCGGGATTTGTAATAGCGGATTTCAGAAGCCGTCCAGCCCCAATGACTCCCATTATTCCAGAGGAATGTCGAGACGTGAACGTCCTTTCAACCATCTCCAAGGTCGCCGAAGAGATCATAAGTTGGCGAGGGAGCATAAGTAGAAGGAGAAGGCGAGGCTCCAAAAGAAGAATGCGTCGATGCCCTAGACTGCGTCGATGCCCTAGACTGCGTCGATGCCTTAGACTGCGTCGATGCCTTAGACTGCGACAAGTTACCACGTCTGTTGTCCTCGGAATTCTCGTCCTCGGCGCTCACCACCACTTTTGCCCTCAACCATCTTCCCAGAGCTGAAGTGTTAAGGGACAAGAGATACTTGTAGAAGTAATTGCTGTTGGACGTACAATCCTTCATATGGTATGATCCTTGGAAATACAGGAACATTCTATACTTGAACCTTGTGCCTATGGGGAGCTTGCCGGCGATACAGTTGCGTATTTCATCAACAACGACGGTGTCGGTCGCCCGTTCCATCCCTTTACGCCTCAATATCTCATCTCCAAGCCTAAGCAAGGTTCTAGGTAGTTTTTTTATCAAACTCCACTCGGATATAGACAGATGAGTATATGTCAAGAATGCTTCCCCATTTTAGATCTTCATCGGCATAGCAGTGGCCTCCTGCGATCTCACACTCACAATGTTGGGGTGAGTCTAGAAGAGCAGGCGGCTCCAGTGAAAGACCAGCATTCTCAGCACCCGGCATTCCGCCCTCGGTGCCTGCAGATCGGGAAGAGGGTTCCGAGATAAGACCAGAATCTTCAAAGTCATTGGGAACCGGTTGATTCTCATTGTTTGGATGTTGAGAAGTAGGTTCCAGAAAAGAATCAACATCTTCAGTGTCCTCGAGGGAGTCCATATGCAGCCGGAAAGCCTCCTGCAGCTTACTCCAGTTGCCTTCAAACTCCTTGTATGCTGGAAGGTAAGAAACGTCCTCAGGCTCAACTTTTCTTAAGTTGAAGTCATATTGCGATGAATCGGTATTGGTGAGAGCCTCTTTATGGATATCTTCCCATAGTAGTTGATGGCGTACGGTATATGCGATGCCGGGACGTTGTCGAAACACGTTAATCTTAGCGGCGTTCTTTCTACCACGCAAATGAGGAAGGGGCGTCTTCAGCTCACCAACCAAAAACTTGTTGGAAGTACCTGGTAGTGATTGAAATCGCCGGATATCGTACGGCGAAATATCTGCCGCTGCTCTCTGTTCATGTGTATCCGGCGTTCTAGACTCAGAAATAAAATTCCCGAATCTTTTGGATTCTAACTCTTCGATTTGACGGGCCATTTCAGCATAAATAGCTTCTTTTTCACCGTGCTGGGCTATTTCTGGAAAGAACACAACATTATCGAAGCCTGTGTTACAGTAGGTGTGTGGCTTTGGTGTTACTTTGCCCTCTAAGTCGTAGTTAGTAAAGTAATACCGAAACTTCTTCTGGCCTATAACTGGCGTGGCATAAACAGCACATTTGCTGCCCTTCAGCCTGCCAACTACTAGTCGCGTTGCAATCTTCGAATCGCGGTCGGTGCCGTATCCAGTGATGATGTCCAAAATGTCCTGAGATGGACGACGGGGAGGAGGTAATTCAGGCAACCTTGCCCGCTTCATGGCAGGCAATCTTGGTGGCCCAATGGGCCACAACATACTGTCGCCTTCCCTGGCGCGCGTTTTCGTGCCGTGCAGTGTGCCATTGACAGCAACAGTAGGGCCAACAGTCGTGTTGGTACTGGCAGTGGGACAGGGATATTCCGTGGTATTAGCAGGAGTAGAGGAATTTGAAAGCCTTGAGGCAAGACTGGATAGTCTATGATTGCCTCTAGATCCGTAACTAGCAGTACTAGTATTGCTGCTAGCGGCAATGTTGTTGCCAGCGACAACTTTGTCGTGAGTCATAGCATTGTTTTTGACTATAGTGTCACTATGGGCGATAGTGTCACCGTGAGCAATAGTGTTATTGTTGTCAGTGACAGCGTGGTTGTGAGCAGCAGATACGGTATGGGTGTCAGCGACACTCTGCGCAGTAGTATTGTTGTTGTTGACGGCAGCATCGTTGTGAGCGACAAAGGTACTCCCAGTGCTGTTTCCTCCGACAGTGTCATCGGGTGTTATAGGCAGAAACTCAGCGTAAACCGTTACGACGCCTGAATTTGATTCGGTGAAGTAAAGCCGAGCATTCCAAACATTGCGGTGAATGATTGAGCATGCGTGAGCATCATTGTGAAACTGGACCCGGAATTCATTCTCGGGTTTAAGATGTACGAGGTGAGCCACACGGCAGAGTGCCTATTCATACCGTCAGCGTGTTTGTAGCAATAAAAAATTGAACACCGTACCTCGTAGTTGCCAATGGAGTCTTCGGGCTTTGGTATAAGCATAGCATGTTCGTCACTTCCGAACAACCCGATTCCGATGGTTTTCATGGCAGCGGCAGTGGTACCTCAGACTTCTGACGAGGCCCGAGGGTGAGACGAACGCCAGGTGAAGTGACGCGTGAAGCTGACTTGTTCCGACCGGCAGTAAAGGCAATTGAGAAAGGGTAAAGTGAACTGAATCAGAGAGTGCGCGAGCACATGCCCAGAAGAAGCGCGCGATCGACCAGAAACGACCGACGCAGCTTGAGAAGAGATTGGGTTGAGAAAGGTGTGAGTTGAGAAGGAGCTTGAGACAACACTGACAACTTAACAGGCAGTCGCTACCAAAAGCGGTTAGGCGCCAACAGCAATTTTAACATGCCATAGGCGCGCCATTTTTCGTACAGTGCATAGAACGAAGGAGTTGAAGCGGCTTGACAAAGCGGTCGGTTGCAACAGTTCATCCACCTACGCCATCAAAATGTCAGAGCATTATTACAATTCATGCAGTGGTGGCGCTCTAGTGACTTGATCCACTACGATGTTTTACGAAAACTCATTAGCATGCTTGCAGTGAAGCAATCTCTATTGTACAAAGCAGGAAATAAACTACCAAAGTCCTACTAAAAGAAAAAGCTGCATGGATTAGGTAGAAAGCTGTTAAACTCATCCACACTATCCATAAAGAAAACTAAATGAAAAACTTTTCCAGTATACCGTGCAAGTCGGCAAGAATGAACCCACCAAAAGCTGCCCAAAAAGAAAACTCTTAGGAGGAGTTATGTGACGAATTTCGGGAACCGTCCAAGCTCATCCATAAAGAAAACCAATTGAAAACATGCAAAATGCCCGAGTAAACCTAATACAAGGAAGAGGATTCGTTTGAGACTTCGGGTAAACAGATTTCTGGAAGCATCCAACTCGAAAACACAGCAGTAAGCGTCCGAAGAGCTTAAACAGGAGAACTCGGTGGACTAGTTAGCGGCGAGGTGCTGTGCCTAACAGGTGTGTTTGCCTCGACGATATCTTTGCCGGTTTGTTCGGCGTCTCCCGTAGCCAGTAAGCCACCTTGGCCAACCTGTGTGGTATTGTTCTCGTCTACGTTGCTAATGACGACCTTCACGTCTAGCTGCCTTTTCAGGGTTTTATCGGTAGTCGACAGAAGGTACTGGTAGAAGACGTTCCTATCCTCTGTAGTGTTCCTGGCATGGTTGGATCCCTAGAGGTAGACGAAGACCTTGAATTTGAACTTGGTACCCTCCGGAAGGCTCTCTGTAATGTATTCGCGAAGTACCTCAGCAACCGTTCCTACCGAGTCTGCACATGAGAGTGAGCCCTGAACAGGCTCAAGATGGATTGAAGAGCTCGACAGTTAATTCTCGAAATTTACCAGCAGCTCGACAGGCTCGTATGTTTCAGGATTGCGTCCCCACAATGGATCGAGGTGTGCTCTACAAGATTGCCCCGAGGCTCCACACAAACATGGTGTGATCAGGTCAACTTGAGGAGGAGGTAGCTCCTGAGACGGATCGGCCTCTTCAGTGACCTCAGGAACCGGCAACTCACTCTCAGTGCCTGGGTGAGGGGGAGAGGATTCGGGAGTGTGATCCAAAGAAGGGACAACATCTGACAGACTACTGTCAGTTCCTTGATCGTCCAGAGCTTGACTTTCCTCTGAAGTCGAGTGAATTCCGGTCGCATGCTGCATGATCGCATCCCGAAGTTCCTTATCTGGTCGGCCTTCGAAGTCCTTGTATGCCGGTAGTAGAGTCATTTCATGTTCGTAGACTAAACCGCCATTTAGCGGCCTACTCCCCGGAATCTCTTCAATTATTGTGCCATAGATATCTTCGTGTATCATAGTAACGCGGGAATTTCTGTCGCCTCTGAAGCGAGTGACTGTGACGGCATTGAGCCTATCTCGATTCGGCAGGGGAGATTTCATAACCCCTACAAGATATCTGCCATCCGGGCGCGCCTGGAATCTCTGGACAGTGGTAGGTGAGAAAACCGTGCTTTTGTCTGCCTCGATGGGTACTTTCTTGCTTGCAGGTGCATCGGTTGATGGTATTTGTCCAGCCGATGGAGGCACATCGGGATTCATGACAAGGTCATTCTTTCTCATATCTTCCAGCTTTTGAATTTGGCGAATGACTTTAACTTTGATGGCCTCTTCTGTGTGTAACCGGGCTAGGTCCCGGAAAAAATTGACTTCAGCGTAACCCACATTGTGTGAGCGTGGCAGCCCTACAAAATTGCCATGCATGTCGTAGCGGGAGAGGCTGTATTTTATCGTTTCACGACTTCTAGAAGCGTAGACAGCACGTTCGGTGCCGTCCGTTGAGGTCAGGCTTCCAACTACCAGCCGCGTTGTGTCCTTCGAATTGCGATTGGTACCGTATCCTATGATAGTGTCCATAATACTTTGAGTTGGACGAGTAGGAGGCGGTTTTCGTCGCTTGTGGGGCCTCGAGCTCCTGTTATTATCCCCAGTGCGCTTTCCCGCGCGGTGTGAAGGACTGTTAACAGGAATGGTAAGGGTTTCAGTTGTGTTGGTAATGGGGTTGAGACCTTCGGCAAACTTAGCAAGGGCACCGGGGCGTGTAAACTTCAGGATGACCATACCAGGCCGTCTGTTCCTCTGGGGAGTAACACGAAGACCTCTGGTGTTGATGCTAGCGGCACCGGTGTTCATGTCGGCAACGGCATTAATACCAAAGATATCTCGGTTGTCATTAACAGTATTGTCGTCATCGGAAGTGTCCTTGGCGCTGGTAGCGTTGTCTCCAGCGTCAGTGATACTGCTAGGCACAATGCCTTCACGGGCGGCAGCATCGTTTCCGGTGGTGATCCTCTCGAGTGTTGCAGACAGCTCTTGGTTACGAGGCACAAACTCGGCCAATACCGTCATTAAGTCGTTCGGAGTGCTTGTAGTGTATCCTCCAGCGTTCTATGCAGCGGACTCGACAGGAAGGGAATAATCAGGATGATGAAATCGGACCTCAAAAGCATCCTGGGACTTGTTGTATAACCTATGCGCCATAATGCAAAGTGCCTGTCCAGGAAGTTAGCATAATACTTTTATAGGATGAAGTAAACTACAAACTTCGTATTTTCTGATTTTGGCTGCTGAAAACAGCGTCGGACTAACATCACTCCCGAATAGTTCAATCTGGACGAACTCCATTGAGCCCATTGTGACGGTGACTTCAGGCAAGCCAAGCTTTACAAAGCCGGTTGGGTGTTGTAGCTAAGCTCTACGTCAACGGTTATGTGTAGAACGTTGCAGCGACAGTGGCACCTCTGATGCGTCTGAATGGAAAGACAAAGACTAGGCAGGACGGCACCTGTAGCTGATCGCCAGCACCTCCTACGTGGGTCGGCAAGGCGAAGCGGCCGGCAACTAAAGCGAAGAGGCCGGCAACCAGTGCGTTGGAGGCTGAGGAATTGACCGAGAGAAAAACAAAGTTGAAAGTTGAGAAGAGGTGAGTTGAGACAGAGTTTCACATTGGGAAGGTACCTCATGGGCAGGCGGGTTAACTAAGCCTACTAGCGCCTACGGGTTCCTAAGACGGAACCTATGACGTGAGAAGTCGGTCCTGGTAAAGCGACCGACACCAACACCAGTAGCAGTAAGTCCTCTACAGTATTGAGAGACGTTTCCCAAGACGAGCAAAGGTAGATACTTGATCAATTAGAAAAGGGTGGCTTTGAAAGATGCGAATGCGAAGGAGGGATTTAGAAGCCCTAGCGACTGCAAACGCCAAGACAAATAGTCGCAGGCAGGAGCGGCCAGGCGTTAACGAAAACAACATGCACAGAATACCATGCCATGGACACGTCTCTAATGGGATGCTATTGGAGTCCGCTTGCACTAGACGCGGAAAAGCGATTCACTGTTTGCTGGACTGCAGACTCCCGACACCAATAGCGTTAATGCAACGCAGAGCATCGGATTATGAGCAAGGCGAGCGACTCCATTGCTGTCAGTACCCGTTCAGACAGGAGACAAGCTAGAGCCAGTGGCATTGGTCTAGGAATGGGCAACTCAGTCTCCAATGACAGTATAACACCAACGGAACATCACGTCAAGCGGCTTCTCATATCCCAGATATACTGCCTACGCGAGAAGACAGCATCACAGCCACCTGTACAGCCTTCACCATGTCAAAGCAAATAAGAAAAAGCAAAGTGTGAAGCTGGGCGCGAGGAATTGGACGCCGCTTGTCCTCCTAAATTACTATTACCTATGGGGGTATATATGCTGCTATCTAAAAGAACACGTTTTCTCTTTAAGATCCTGTCAGCCAGTATCACTCTAACAACGCACAGCTTCAACCCTACGGTTAGTTGTTACACAATAAACTGACTCCCTTACACCACACGTTCTTCTACTGCAAGGAATTAAGGATCTCAACAAGAAACGTATTCTTTTAGATAGCAGCATATATACCTCTATAGGTAGCAGTAATCTAGGAGGAGAAGCGGCGTCTAATTCCTCGCGCCTAGCTTCACAGTTATGAGCCCGGAATCGCATCCCTTTGCGCCTATTCCCTTTGAGATCAATCTTTGATCAAACCTTATCGGTTCACTCGCTTAATAAGCTAGTGTAACATTTGTTTTAGATGGCGGAAGGCTG